AGTTGGGAAGCAAAGGGAGAAAAAGGAAGGGGCTAGGGTTCCAATGTAACCCTTAAGGGAAAGCTTCCTAATGACCTAGTTCCTCCATCCAGGCCCTACCTCCTAAGTTTCCACTATATCCCTCTAGTGCCATTAGCTGGTGACCAAGTCTTTAACACTTGAGATTTTGGGGGACATTTAAGATCACAATTTTAAGAGGTAAGTTTGGTAAAATGTCACTGATTATGCATGATGTTTTCTTTTGTTGCTGTGTTTCTGAGCTGCTGGACCATGGGGCAGGGTGCCTTTTCTTCTTCCTTACATTCTGAGTTTGACACATTCATTGGTGCAGAGTTTTCATGTCAACCAGAGAACACTGCTCCACCAAACACATGCCTCATGCCTGAAGTATCATGAGAAGTACAAAAAGCACATTTTTTTCTCATAAATATATTTTTGGAAGTGATATATACCATAAGGAACTTCCATCTTTTGGTTTCCTGAGTGGAAGAGGAAGACAGCAGCTCTCACATAATAACTTCAAAATGCACCTCCCTACTTTCATGTTTACTTTTATTCTCTTTATTCTATGAATTTGCCATATTGACCCTGGAGTGGAAAAAAAAATGAGTTATGATTAAAGCAAAGGGGATAATTAAGAATGGGGAACAGTTTTTAAATGATTTTTCTCAATCTTTGCCAATAAACACTTTTAAAAAAAATTGATTGAAGCACAATATACAGAGTAAAAAGTATTCAAGATACGAATATACAGTATGAGATTTTTAGCAAAGTAAATGTATAACCACCACCTACATTAAAAAAATCACAACATTAACAGCACTCCAGGAGCATCCTTAATCCATTAATAATCCCTAGTGCTCTTTGTACCCAAAGTAGCTGCTTTCCTGGTATCTAGTCCTGTATGTCAGTAATTCACATTTTAAATTTACATAAATGAATTAACATTGTGTTAATATGTTTGTAAGATTCTTTTGATGTCATTGCATGAAGTAGTAGGTAACTTATCCTCACAGTGGTAAAACAACAGTTCTTAAGGATCTCTTTGCCCTCTTAAAAATTGGTGAGGACTCTAAATGGCTTTTGTTTATTAGATTATATCCTTTGATATTTACCATAATAGAAATTAAGGCAGAATTGAAAACATGCAAATATTAATTCACTTTAAAATAATGATAATAAACCCATTATTTGTAAAGCATAATAGACATTTTAAATAAATAACTGTATTTTTCAGAATAAAAAATTGTGATAAGTGTGGCATTATTTTATGTTTTTACAAATCTCTTAAATTCAATTCTGCTTCTTTATTCAATCTTCTGTAATGTTCCTGCTAATCCACTTTGGTTGAAATATATAGTATGTCTCCCATAGATATGCAGTTTGGAAAAGAAAGAGAATTTGGATAGACTTTTGGGAAATTACAGATATTATCTTTGTTACTATCCCCAACTCAAAAAATAGTAATTTCTTTTTTATTTTTATAATAAATGAATGCATTTAAACTTTGTCAGTTATTATTTTTAAATTTTTATTAGGTCATTTTAGTTTAAAAAAAAACTAAAGTCAGCATCATGATGAATAAGAGAAATCTGAAAGCATTTTCTTTAAAATCTGGAACAAGACAAGGCTGTCCACTCTTACCACTGCTATTTAATATAGTACTAGAAATTCTCGGCAGAGCAATCAGGCAAGAGAAGGAAAGGAAAGGGATAAAAATCACAAAAGAAGAAGTCAATCTATTACTGTTTGCAAATGATATGATCCTATATCTAGAAGATCCAAACACTTCCACTAAAAACTGTTAAAAGTAATAAACAAAAGTAAAGTAGCAATTTATAAAATCAATATACAAAAACCAATAGTTTTTCTATAAGTGAATCCATTAAGATATAAATCAAAAAAGCAATTCTATTCTCAATAGCTTTGGAATTAAAATAAAATACCTAGAAATAAATCTCGCTGAGGAGGTGAAAGTTCTTTACAATAAAAATTATAGAACACTGAAGAAAGAAATTGAAAAAGACACTAGAACATATCCTATGTTCATGAACAGCATTTTAGTCAGCTTTTTTACTGTTGTGACTAAAAGACCTGGAAAAACAATTTTAATGAAGAAAAGTCTATTTGGGGGCTCACAGTTTCAAAGGCCTCAGTCCATAGACAGCCAACTTCATTACTCAAGGCTTGAAGTGAGGCAGAACATTATGGCAGAAGAGTTTGGTGGAAGAAACAGCTCAAGACATCACACCAAGAAGCAGAGAGAAACTCACCACATTAAAAAAATATATATATATTCCCCAAAGGCACCCCTCCACCACACCCACATCCTCCAGCCACACCTCACTTATCTTTAGTTACCACCCAGTTAATACCCATCAGAGGTTTAATTCACTGACTAGATTAAGGCTCTCATAACATAATCATTTTACCTCTGAATGTTCTTACATTTTCTCACACATGGTCTTTCTGGGGGGAAACCCAATATGTAAAGCAAAACAGACAGGCAGAATTAATATTGTGAGAATGGTCATGCTACCAAAAGCAATATATAGATTTAATACAATCCTCCCAAAATGCCAGTGACATTCTTCAGAGACTGGACAAAAAGTTCTAAAATTCATGTAGAAAAATAAAAGACCTAGAAAAGCCAAAGCAATTATAAGCCAAAAAAGTAATGCTAAATGCTTCACAATTCCTAACTTCAAATTATTCTACAGAATATAGTAACAAGATCTGTGTGGTACTGGCATAAAACAGATATAGAATGATATAGAACAGAAGACACACATAGATACAGTCATCTGAAACTTGAGAAAGATGCTAAAAATATACATTGGAGATAAGACACCATTTTAAACAAATGGTGTTGGGAAAACTGGTCAGCCATATGTAGAAGAATTAACTAGACCTCCCACCCTTCACAAAAAATCAACTCAAAATGGATCACAGACCTCAGAATTAGACAAGAAACTATACACCTCCTAGAAGAAAATATAGGGCCAACATTTCAACATAGAGCCACAGGCAAAGACTTTCTCAATAGGACCCCTAAAGCTCAGGAAATAAGGCCAAGAACTAACAAATGGGATGGCCTCAAATTAAAAAAAAAGAAAAAGAAAAGAAACTTCTTTACAGCAAAGGCAAGAGAGAGGAAGAGGGTAAAAAGAGAACTTATGGATTGGGATAAAATCTTTGCTAACTATTCTTCTTTCAGAGGATTAATATCTACAACATTTAAAGAACTCAAAACAACACCAAAAAACAAACAAACCAATTACTAAAAGGACAGAGATGAACTAAACAAACATTCTCAAAAGAATAAATACAAGTGGTCAACAAATATATGAAAACATGTACAACATCATTAACAATTAAGGAAAAGAAAATCAAAGCTACTGTGATATTTCATCTAATTCCAGTTAGAATGGCAGCTATCAAGACAGAATACAAATAAGTGTAAATACTGGTGAGAATGTGGAGAAAAATGAACACTTTATACTGCTGGCAGGATTGTAAATTAGTACAGCCACTATGGCAATCAGAAGTAGGTCTGCTCCCAAGGGTAGATATAGATCCATCCTATGACCCACTTAGACCATTCCTTGATATTTATCCTGAAGAACTGAAGTCATCATACTCTAGTGGAACATGCATACCCATTTTTTAGCAGCACATTAACAATAGCCAAACTAAGGCACCAGCCTGAGTGTCCATTAATAAATAAGTGGATAAAGAAAGCATGGTATTTATATACACAATGGAGTTTCATTTTATCATAAAGAAAAATGAAATGATGTCATTTGCAGGAAAATGAACAGAATCTGAGTCCTTTATGTTAAGCAAAATAAGCCAAAGTCAAAGGTCAAGAGTCATATATTTTGTCTCATGTGGAAGCTAGAGAGAAAAAAGGAAAAGAAAGGTGGAAGGATGAGTAGATTAGAGGAAATTGACCAGAGAGAGAGAGAAGGGGAAGGAAATGAGAAGTACTGGGGATTTTTTTGACCAAATTATATTGTTCTAATGTGTGCATGTATGCATATGTAACAAAAATCCCACCATTATTTATATCTATAAGGCACCAATTAAAACATGAATAAATGGGGGAAAATAGTTGCTTAACAAACAACAGCAACAAAAACCAAAAAAAAAAAAAAAAGAAACATATAACTGTCAGTAATAAAAGAAATATTTTCAAAGAGAAAACAAAATTGACATTGAGCATTAATTGTTTTAAACATATTCCCCTTGAGACTAACATAATTAAGCCAATTGGTACATATAATCCCTAAGTTCTCTAGTAAGAATAAACATACTGCCTATGTCATTATCATGCTATGACTTGGAATCACAGAGGATCTAGAAATCCAACAAGGAGAGGGAAGATTACCTGGGTTCTAGGTATGTCCTCCTACTCAAAATTTCCTGTAAAATAACATTAAGGTTTTGAGAAACAGATTCTGTGGTTTTGGTTTTCTTTTGACCATAGATACCTAGTCATTGGCTTATTCAATTCAAATCAAGAAAGTGAAACTAGGTACGTGAAAGTATGAATAAGTGACTGAAAATATACTCCCTTTCAAGCTTTTAAGTTTAGCTTTGAGGAAGTTTGTAGAATTCAGATGAGAATATAACACTTTGATATTTTCTTTCACATGTATGTTTTATTGGACTCTTACCGTTACGTCTCCATGTTTAATTACAAAAGTTTTACATATAATTAATATATTGATAAGATAAACACAAAAAAATCAGAATATATAACTAAAGGTGATTTTTTTCCTCTAAATTTCTGTGAAAATAGCATAACTTTCCGATTCATATTTGGAGGGAATATGCATCCCTTTTAATAGGGCAGTAAGTTAGAAAGATTTACCAAAGGGAATCCAGGTGTGTATGTTCTCAGGCCACTGATTCTAGAGAGCTCTTTGCTGAGGTTTGGTAGATGACTGTTACATGATTGGAGTCCTAAGTACTACCTGCCTTCTTTGTTTTCACAGATGTCTGGCTCTGAGCCCACAATGAGTGGAAACCAGTCTCTCTGCACTAAATTCACATTTGTGGCTTTTTCCTCTCTAGCAGAGTTACAACCTGTCCTCTTTGTTGTGTTCCTAATTGTCTACTTATTTACCATGTGTGGAAACCTCCTCATCATCTACCTGATCTGGGTCACCCCTTTCCTGCACACCCCCATGTATTTCTTCCTGGTGAATCTCTCCATTTTGGAGATGTGCTATATCACCAGCGTGGTGCCTCAGATGCTGGTGCACCTGCTGGTGGAGACCAAGACCATAAGTGTGGGAGGCTGTGCAGCCCAGATGTATGTATTTGCCATCTTGGGACTGACAGAATGCTGTCTGCTAGCAGCCATGGCTTATGATCGCTTTGTGGCTATTTGTCACCCACTACATTACACTCTCCTGATGAGCCCTCCTGTCTGTTTGAAATTGGCTGCAGTGTCTTGGATCACTGGGGTGGTGGTGGAGTCAGCTCAAATCACCTGGATCTTCACTCTGCCCTTCTGTGGAACAGGAGAGATTCAGCATTTTTTTTGTGACATCATGCCTGTTGTGAAGCTGGCTTGTGTTGATACCTCCCACAATGAGATTGTGTTGTTTGCTATTTCTGTGCTCTTTATTATGAGTCCTTGTCTCCTCATTTTGTGCTCCTATCTGCGCATTCTTCGAACCATCTTGAGAATCCCTTCAGCAACTGGCAGACACAAAGCTTTCTCCACGTGTTCCTCTCACATTCTGGTTGTTTCTCTGTTTTATGGCACTGCCTTGTTCACTTATCTCCAACCCAAGAGTGCACACACTCCAGACACAGACAAGACAACTGCCCTCATGTACACAGTGGTCACACCTGCTCTGAATCCTGTTATCTACACTTTGAGAAACAAGGAAGTGAAGGAAGCCTTTCAAAGGGTGACACACAGGAACCCTCTTAGGCAAGTGGACTAATCTAGCTTTCATGGCTGAATCTTTTACTACTGTGCAGGGAAGTTACCCAACACTTTATGACTCCTCTGCCACCGTTTATTGGCATCCTGGCATTGTTAATCTGATATCCATACAATGCTTGATTTTGGTTTACACTTTTCAATGCAGTGCAATCATTCAATTGTTTAATCATGCCTCTATCCACCTATATTTACTGGGTATCTCCTATGTAGTA